ACAGGGCCTGAATCACACAGGGGACCCCACACAGGGCCTGAATCACACAGGGGACCCCATACAGGGCCTGAATCACATAGGGGACCGCACACAGGGCCTGAATCACACAGGCAACCCCACACAGGGCCTGCATCACACAGGGGACCCTACACAGGGCCTGCATCACACAGGGGACCCCACATAGGGCCTGAATCACACAGGGGACCCCACACAGGGCCTGCATCACATAGGGAACCCCACACAGGGGACCCTACACAGGGCCTGCATTACACAGAGGCCCCCATACAGGGCCTGCATCACACAGAGGACGCCACACAGCACCTGAATCACATAGGGAACCCCACACAGGGGACCCCACACAAGGCCTGAATCACACAGGGGACCCCACACAGGGCCTAAATCACACAGGGGACCCCACACAGGGCCTGCATCACATAGGGAACCCCACACAGGGCCTGAATCACGCAGAGGACTCAATCATTCATCTGCCATGTTGTTGCCTTGGCTGCTGAGAGACCCAGAACTAAACGTAAGATTATAGTAAGAAAGACCCTGACACATCCTTGGCTTCTTGTAAAATTATGTTTCTATTTCCCTTACGTTCCCAGTTTACCTTTCTGTGTAGCCGTGTGTTGGTTTATTATCTGCCTCCAGTTGTTCATGAACTATTAATACTAAAATATGACTACAAATAGATCATCTTTTGTTCAAAGACACATTTTGAGATTAATGTAGAACATGTAAGAAGGTAAGTCTCACAGCCTCACTCCTGCTCCCCCGAGTTTTAACAAGTCTCTTAAATTGTGAATTCCTTTTTCAAATTATCATTTCCTTTTCTAGGTATTAAGCAATGTTTGATTGTCCTCTATTCCTGATTTCTTACAAACCCACAACCATATCTCCACCACACTTAAAAAAAAAAGTACACATAAAATAAGCCACAATCGCCGCAGTCGTCCCGGAGGACACACCCTGCAGATGGGGCTGAGCCCAGGGCTGCCTGCTGTGTGCTACGGGGCAACAAAGCAGTGAACTACAGTCACGGCAGATACGTGAATTCTGTAGAAAGTTCTTATGTTGACAAACACCAAACGGTAGGCATTATTTTATCACCAAGTATTCGTTTCCTAGTGAAATGAGTGGATTCATTCTTTTGCATTGTTCATTCCTGTATGTGCCTCAAGTTATTTTTTGCATGTTCAAACACAGACACTTCAACATAGTAAAGTAACAACTTTTTACTCGGCCATAGCGATACAACATATAAGTATCAATAAAATGAAACTCTAGCACTAATGGAAATACGTTCATTGAAAAATTAATCATCAAAGATCCTCTAAAAAGCCAGGTAATTTCATCACAATCAGGACTGAGCCTTCTCTTTTGCACATTTTGCACAGGCCTGGTGTCCAGTGTCCTCAGGCCCCTGCTGGCAAGGGCCGAGTGAGCGCCATGTGCAGCACTTAGGGGCATGAATAGCTGTCAGGAAGGGGTAACTGTTATGGTCAGAAACTCTCCTAAAACCAGAAAACGAAACAAAGCCCCATATCACTGGTGTCTCTCCGGTATCAAATGGCAGCTGTCACAGGGTGGGGAGTACTATTAGAGACACAGGAGTCTTGTCTATTACACCAAGCAACACTTCTTAAGTTTAAGAAATTAAAATGTCCTTTACTTTAAAATTACTGTTAATGCATCGATATCAAAGAATAACCTACAGGGAACCCCACTTGGTTCCAGTGAGACCCTTTCAGGGCCAGACTCACAGGGCGGCATGAGAACCGACATGAGAACCAGCATGAAGGATGCAGCTCTCCTCCTACTGTGATGTGGAGAAGGGGAAGCTGGAACCCGACCAAAGGCTCAGGATACTGGTAGGAGAGCCAGCATTTGGGGCTAATGACTGAAGAAGAGTTATTTTTCGACTATGCCACATTATCCCTTCTAATTCACTATTCCTATTAAAATGTTAGGAATTGTAATAGATACAATATGACTCAAGGTAAAACATGATGACTTTATTTTAAATTTAACACAAATTTAGTTGGAACAGTTCCCAACTTGGGTGTTTCTGTGACTCTTCCAAACACCCTATCTAAATCTTTCCCAAAGATTCATGGTGCTTAGGGGCAGGTCAGAATCATGCCTCAAAAGTCAAATGAAGCCTGACTGTCTTCAAATCTAACTCTAAGTTTCAAGCATCAAGAGGGGTGTTGTGGACAGATGCATACACATATCACTAGGGACACATCAGTCCACATTTTAACCTTGGGTAAGAACATGAATCTTTGAAATAATTCTTTGGAAACTTCATAATTTTTCCCCCCAAATACTGCTGCTATGAAATTACATCTAGCTCATATCTAATTAAAACATTTTAGCAAAATTTAATAATTTTTAGTAATAGTGTGACAAAGTTGAACTATTGACTAATCAGGAGATAGTTCGGGGAAAAATGGATTTTGCTCATGGTTTATTAACTTTTGTTGAAAAGATGAGCAATGCAGTTTTTAAGCCTTTTACATTAGGACCTTCTGTACACTTCTTCACGAAACAATACTTTAAGTAAACTGTTTATTTCAAATATATAAGCCAATAGTTTGCTATATTAACATAGTAATAAAAATATAATAAATGTAATTTAAATCATAGAATTTTCTGAATTCCTTAGGCACACAGCAGAGCAAGTCAGGCAACCACGCTGTGATGGACACTCATTAAAAACCCCTTGCCTCTATGAACACTTGTGGATGGCATGCGATTTGGGAGTGATTTATAATTTTTCCTTTGATTTTACTAAGGGACAATCAAATAATTGCTTGACTTCACCCCTGTATTAGAGTTTCATTAAAAGGAAGTATGGCAAAGTGGTGGGAAGAGGCAGCCCTGAGGAGCGGCAGATGCACCCGCTCCTGAAAGCAGCTTGGAGAACTTGGTTTGGTCACTGGGCGTCTGTTAAGACTGGGTGGGCTGGGTGTTGCAATCTGATTTGTAAAACACTAGCTACACGTTTATTATAGCCTGTGATCTTTCTAACTCATCACATCTGAAACCTTCTTAGTGAAAAGTACAGCACAGTAACACTGTGGGGAGGACAAGGCTTCCTGGGAAAGCAAATCAAAGGTCCGTGTGGACCCGAGAGGAGGCCACAGGCATGTAGGACGTAATTTTTCTGTGATAATTTTCCTTTTTAATAATAACCCACCACTTTATTTCTAGAGGTTCTCCACAGACTCCTGTTACAGACCTGAAATCCCAGCATTTGTGAGATTACTGTAAACATTCGACCCTGAAATCTCACACACTCAATCCATCATGACCTCCCCCTTGGGTGTGACCTCTCCCTGCAGCTGCCCAGGTGCCTTGCATGGGCCTCCGTCCCTGGGATGGACTTTGGGACTGCAGATTGGATAGTAGGTCCCTTTTAATTTGCCATTCACGATTTACCAGAATGAGAGGGTGAAGAGGGACAGAGGGGTCTTCCCAGTGGGGCAGTTTCTCAGCTGCCTGCGTGCCAGCACTGTGCTCACAGAAGGGGATTGAATCTGAGGCTGGTCTTAGCCTGTGTCACCCCGTGGCTTAGCATCAGCTATGTTCCGGAGACATAAGACCGAGTCTCAGTGTGAGAAGAAAGGAACTGCACAGCATGCATTGTTTTCCAAGAAACACCTACTCACAAGTCAGCTCATTTGGCCTGAGTCCCTAAAGAAGCCCCTTTAGATAGTACCTTGTGAAAAGATGCAGGCATTACCTTCTGTGTCTTGCATATTTGCCACTAACATGACCACTGCCGTCACAGCCAGGGGTGGGACAGCTGCAACAGGAAAGAATCGATTACACAGGGACCACGCAGCAGGCGGGGGGGATGGGATGCCTCCGTGGGCAGTGCAGACAGGAGAGAAATCACACGACTGGAAGGAGGGGACGTTGGGGACACTGTTTATTAGCAAGTCTCGGGGTAATTGACCTCATTGGGCAGCGGGCAGGAGCAAGCCGCACTGAACTTCAGTGTGCAGGGTGCCCGTGAGCGGGCGTGGCGTCTGCACTGCTGATGGGGATGTGTTTACTCGCACACACTGACCTGAACAGCTCTTGGATGGCTGGTTCCACGGGAACTGCAGAGAGATGGAAACAGAGAAAGATTTATCATCTATCCTAAGTGCCTTCTTCCATAGAAAATTATTGACAGGGCGATGGGACGTCAGGTCAGAGTGAACTGCAGGGTGAAGGTGACCTGAGCCGGCCTGCAGGTTCAAAGTGCAGACGTACCTCGAACCCCTTTGGACCGCGTGCGATGGCGCTTCTCCTCTGTGTCCACCTCCATCTGGGGAGAGATGAGCAGGCGGTCAGTCCCAATCCTGCCTGTGCAGCCAGCGGGCCTGGGGCTGCCCACTCTCCCCGGCCTCTCACTGCCAGGGCTGTGCTCCCTCTGCTCCCATCCCTTGAGCAAGAAGCCCTGAACATTAGAAGGGTGGAGGGTGCAGGACCCGGCAACCTGGGGGCACTGTTTTCAAAACAACAACTGCCCCTTCTCTTTGGGCAACATGCAAGACGCCCACACTCTGCAGAAGGGCAGGTTGTGAGGAACTTTTAAGTGCAACCCATTTACTCAAGCACTGACTAGGACACATCTGGGTGGCTGTGAGCGGAACCCTGCAAGAAGAATGTGACAGATGGCCCCGGGTTCACGAGAGGTGAGAGCAAAACATGCAAGGTCTCTGTTCTTCCTCAACTGAGGAGTTGAGAGGAGGAGGGATGGAGGAGAGCAGGGGAGACGGGGAGTGGAAGGTCGCTTTGGCCATCAGGGGCTCACTCTCATGGCGGCCGCTTCCTGGGATGCGGCCCCCTACCCCTTGGGCTGCTCCCTGGGCACATAGACCCTTTGCTCAGGGTAACTGATGTTCCTGACTTGAGAGGTTACCGAGTGCTTTTGTGTATTACCTTGTAGGAACCGCATAATAATTTTGTAAAGAAAGTGCTTTAAATATGTATACTTTAGTATGAAAACACTAAAATTGCAGACCACATAACTGGCTCAAGATCGTTGGAATAGGTGGTTTTGGTATAGGGTCCCCAAATCACCTGGTCTGCAAACTTTCCCCTTAAGCCACAAGAACACAGTGTCATGGGGTGAATATACACTGGGATTTCCACGACATGTGAACACTTGGCCTGGCCAAGTGCACAGCAGGAGACTCTGCTCAGTGTGACAGAGGGGCTGACAGACAGGAGTAGGAGCAGCCGGCCAGATGGCAGGAATACACCGCCTCAGACCCAATGTGTAATTCTGCCCAGCACAGGCAGAGCTGCATTCTGGGGCAGAAGACACAGACAACAGAAAATGGCCCTGTGCAGGGTTCATGCCAGACACCAAAGCCAGTTCCTCCATGGCCTGGGGAAAGCACAGCAGGAGGCCCAAAGAGAAATCCAGCTGGTGCTGCAAGAAGGCAGCAGTGGAGATGGACCGCAGGTGGGCAGGGCGGGCAGGCCCCAGCTCCAGAGACAGACCGCAGGTGGGCAGGGCGGGCAGGCCCCAGCTCCAGAGACAGACTGCAGGTGGGCAGGGCGGGCAGGCCCCAGCTCCAGAGACAGACCGCAGGTGGGCAGGGTCTGGCTCCAGAGACAGACCAGGTGGTCAGGGCCTGGCTCCAGAGACAGACCAGGTGGTCAGGGCCCAGCTCCAGAGACAGACCGCAGGTGGGCAGGGCCTGGCTCCAGAGACAGACTGCAGGTGGGCAGGGCCTGCCTCCAGAGACAGACCAGGTGGTCAGGGCCCAGCTCCAGAGACAGACCGCAGGGTGGGCAGGGCGGGCAGGCCCCAG